AAATCCCAGAGCCAAACAGTCAATCAGTCTTAGGAACTAAAGTTAGAAATCACCAATCTCTGACAACAGAACACAACAACCTTAGTTACTGCACTGAATGGAATTTAAATTGATTTAATCCTTTGCGTATTAAAGCTCTAAGCTTTATTAAACTGGAAATTCTTTCTGCATTTGCCTCAGTTTTTCAGAAATGACAGAATTGTTCCAAGGCTTTAGGCTCAAGTTAAGATATCCAAGCGACCTCAACCATCCACACTAGAACTGAAACCAATCATTTTAATCACTTGAAGTTTGTAAGTGGTGAGCACTGGATAGTTCTTAGTTTGAGCGCATTCAGAAATCGGAAGACAGGCAGGGGTACTGGGACTTCTACAAGTCCAGCCTGGTCTAACTTGCAAGTTCCAGCCAACCAGGGCCATACAGCAAGACCCTGACTCAATAAATTAAAATTTTCGAGTATGTAGGAAGCCAAATCCACACTAAACACATACTAAGACTATCACTAGAACCAATGCAGAGAGTCAAGGCTAACAAACCTTAGGCCAGCAAGATGACTCAGTGGGTATGGGTGCCTGCTGCAAGCTTGAGTTCAGTCTCTGGGTGGAAGGTAAGAACCGATTCCCAGAAGCTGTCCTCTGACTTCCACATTAATGCTGTGTGTGTGTGTGTGTGCGTGTGTGTGTGTGTACATATACACATGTAAAAATAAATTTAAAATAGATTTTAAAATGAGTTAGGGTGTTGGAGAGATGGCTCAGCGGTTAAGAACACTAGCTGTTCTTGAAAAATACCCAGGTTCAAATCCCAGTACCCACGTGGCAGCTAACAACTGTCTGTAACTCCAGTTCCAGGAGATCTGATGGTCTCTTCTGTCCTCCTCAGGCATTGCATGACACGGGTGCACTTACCTACATGTAAGCAATACACACATACACATAAATTAATAAATAAAATATGGGTGACTCGGTCACAAATGGGACATTTCTATCGCACTCTCTCTCCAAGGCTCAGGGAACATCAAAGAAGAAGGGATGGAAAGATTATAAGAGCCAGAGATCGAGGAGGACATGGACATGACAGGGCCACTGCACTCATGAACTCACAGCACCTGTGATTACTTGCACAAGATCAATATTCTAGCATGGAGTGGAAAGGGGTTCAGGAGCCCCCCACCCCTAGCTTAGGAGCACTTGACAGTTGATGTCTTCTGGAGAAGAGAGAATCCATTTTCTTTAAGGGTGTGACTCTTCTTGGTAGGCCGCCTGTGCTCCAGGGATAGCTCCACACCCAGGAGTATATGGGCAGCAGAAACTGGAGTCCAGTGGATTATTTTTTTTTAAGTGACATTAAGTTGAGGGATAGGAAGGTAGGGGTGGATCTGGGAGGAATTATTAGGGGGAGTAGTTGGGGGTAATTATGATCAAAATACTTTCTCAAAGAATTGCTCAGTGGTTAAAGAACACTGAATGTTCTTGCAGAAGACCCAGGTTCAAATTTCAGCACCCACATAGCAGTTAACAACGGTCCATAACTCCAGTTCCAGGGGATCTGACAGCCTCTTCTGTCCTCCGCAGGCATTGCATGACACGGGTGCACTTACCTGCGTGTAGGCATAACACTCATACACATAAAATAAAAATAATAATAAATAAAATAATTTTTAAAAAATGAGTTAGCAACACACTGCCAGTGGATTATTTTCATACCTGTTTGCCGAGGGCCTCTATGCTTTGGGGGCAGAGACGTTTAAGTATTTATTAATTAAAGAAGCACTCTTCTGAACTGCTGAAAGGCAATATTTATAACTTTCAACTAGATGTTCAGTTTGTCCTCTTAACAAACCAAAAGAAACCAAACAGAAGGGTAGGGGGAGCAAAAGGAAGTTTCGAGAAAACGATGGGTGCTCCTCCCCCAGCTGAGTCATGACTGCTCGTGCCTCTTCCCCAGATTAGAGGAGAAACAACTGCTTCTTTGCCGACCGGCTGTAGTTTCTGCTTTGAAGTTCAAAAATGTTTTCTACACGTTCAAAGGCCCTTCTTTGAAGCTGGGAAAAATACTATAGGTACTTAAACTGTTCATCATCAAACATGAGGAAAGTGGGAGGTCAGAGGCAACTGTGAAAACCCTTCCGTTCTCACAGAAATTTCGAGGCTGTTTCATTAATTGAGATGTGTGTGTGTGTGTGTGTGTGTGTGTGTGTGTGTGTGCAGGTGGGCTCATGGAGGCCAGGAGTCAATGCAGATGTCAAGTGTCATCGTTTTTTAATTTTTGAAAATTTATTTTTATTTTATGTGTATGAGTATACTGCCTGCATGTCTGTAAGTGCACCCATGTCCTGTAGTGCCTGTGGAGGACAAAAGTGGGCATCAGATTCCCTGGAACTGGAGTTACGGATGGTTGTTAGCTGCCATGTGGGTGCTAGGAATCGAACCAAGGTCTTCTTCAAGAGCAGCTAGTGCTCTTAATTGCCGAGCCATCTCTCCAGCCCCATGTGTCATTGTCTATGGCTCTCCACCATGTCTTTTGAGATAGGGACTCTCACTGAATCTGCAGTTAGCTCACCATTTTGCCTAGAATGACGGGCCAGCGAGCCCTCAGGATCCTCCTGCTTCTGCTTCCCTAGCACTGGGATTACTGGTGCATGCTGCCATATCTGCTTTTACTTGGGTGCTAGGGATCTGAACTCAGGTCATCATGCTAATCTGTCAAGCACTTTACCCACCAAGCCTTCTTCCTGGCCCAGAAATTTGGTTTTACAAAGTTGGAAAGGGCTTGTTCCATCTTTATAAGCAACAGTCTCTGGATGAATTATACTGTACACTATCATTAAAACTGCTTTAAACATAGCCACATCTAACATTTGTAGGCTGGGGTGGTTAATCCTCCTTCTCCAAAAGACACAGAGAACAAAACAGAGTTAAAAGACACAGAACAGAATAGAGTTTAAAGTAAAACAAAGACACTTACCGTATTCCGAAAGACGTAACAGTCAGGTAACTCACGGGAATGAATCGCCTGCAGGTCAATGCCTTTGAGGGAAAAGGAGATTTCGATTTGTAGGAGCCTAAATGAAATATATTAAAAGATGTAAGTTATCAGTATTACTACCCTGCTGTCCACCCCCACCCCTATCCCAGGCCTCCTCTCCTGGAAATGGAGACTTGAAGTTGCATTTACCGATAAAATTCTAGCCTGAAGAAGGAGTGCTGTGCCCAGTCCTCAGGGTTCCTGGAGAGCGCCTGGAGGTCTAGGTGAATACACTCTAGGGCAACAAGGACAAGGGATTGTCATTTCTGGCAAGAATCTGATACTGAAGCTAGGGAGGGCAAGAATCATGAGAAGCAGGGGCCTTTACAAATCTCAAAGCATCTCCCAGAAACTCTCAACTCACTACAACAGAAAGAGCAATAACGTCTCATGGGAGAACCTGGTGTGCACTGCACTCACCCAGTGGCTGTATTTTTAAAATTTGTTTATTTTTGTTTTATTTTATGTGTATGAATATTTTGCCTGCATGCATCCAAATGTGACCATATCAATGCACTATCCAGGGGGCCCAGAAGAGACTGTCAGATCCCAGAACGATAACAGTCTGGGACTGTTAAGGACCGTTGTTAGCTGCTATGTGGGTACTGGAAACCCAAGTCAGGTCCTCTGGAAGAGCAGCCAATGCTCTTAACCGCTGAGCCATCTCTCCAGTCCCCCAGTGACTACGTTCACATCACCAGTCACAAGAATCCTTCGAAGGACTTGGAAGGCCACACCACCCATGCAGTATGTAATAGCAAGTGAGAGGCACAGAGGAACGACACCACACAGTAATGATCCTTTATTAGTAACTGGTAGTCAGAGAGGAGGCTTACCCCTAAAAGAACTCTCAACCAGGGTTTGTAAAGCTCAAAACCACAATTAAATCATGCCAGGACAAAGCCAATAACCATAGTTACACCATATCACCATAGTTATACCAGACTAGGGGCAAGTCAGTTAACAAAGAGGTTTTTAGTTAACAAAGTTTCATTTAGGAAAACACATGTTTCTCAGAATTGTAGAAACAATGGGCTCCATGGAGATGCAGGTACAGCTGGGAGGGAGGACATGCTATCTGGACATGCTACCTGGCTACTCGTAAGTTTCCCAGTATCATAGAAACAGTGTACTCCCTGAAACTGCCTGCATGAGACGTTCTGCCTGGCTGGCTGCAGTGGGAATGGCCGGGCGAAAACACAGGGTAAAGGAAAGGTCAGCTGAGCAAAATGGAGTGAGTTTGCCACTTCATAGTATTCCTGCTGCAGATGCAGATCCTTAATCAGTCTTGAAGAAACTGAAATGCCCAATGAGACAGTCTTCTGCTTGAAAATATAGAAAGCATCAGTGTGGGTGGCACATACCCTTAATCCCAGCCCTTAGAAGGCAGAGGCAGGACGATCTCTGCAAGTTCAAGGCCAGCCTGGTCTACCTAGTGAGACAGAGGGATGCAGGGTGGGTGGACACCCAAGTACTTTAGCTTGATCTGAATTAAGAGAGACTAAGAAGACAAGGCAAGATACAGTCCTGGCAGAGGCAGTTGTTCTTTGGCCACAAAGAATATTAGAATATTAGAATAACAGATGCGAAGTGACAAGGGCTTGTGTTGCATCCCTGTGAGTCCATCACTTTGAGTGTTGCACAGCGGTTCAGTAGGAGAATGTTCTTGTCGGGGGTGGGGGGTAGGAGATAGGAGGAACGTGCACTGAGGCATTTAGAGGTACAGAAATGGTATGTCTTTGCCTTCGGGAGAAATGTTTACACACAGAAAGAAGCAAATGCAACCTAACATTGTGTTTGAGAAATCTTAAGACTGATATTTTTTCAAAATAAAAAACAAAGGGAAAGGAAAGGAATTAGGTTCCATGTGAATAAAAGCAAGTGATAGACTGGGTGTGTAGCACAGTTGGTAGGGTGATCACGTAGCATGCACAAGGCCTTGGCTTTGATCCCCAACACTGCACAAGCTAGGCCTGATCATACCTGCCTGTCTTCTCAACACTTGGGAGGTAGAGGCAGGAGGATCAAAAGTTCAAGGTCACTGTTGGCTACAGAGGGAGCTTAAGGTCAGCCTGGGATATGTGGGATCCTGTCTCAAAACAATAACAGCCCTCCCAATAAAAACAAATGACAATCCATAAACCGATAAATGACAAAACATAAATGATTCCAACAGTTTTCCATAAACATTAGCTTCCACACTGTGCAGCCCAACACCCTTGCAATATAGCGCAGGAAAGCAGGTGGCCTGGAGGTGATCACTGTCAAGTCCATGGAAACTGGGTGGCAGAACTGGTATGAAGCCAGTTGTCCTTGATCCCTGGGTAGGGCTGTACCTGCGTGCTGCCTTTGATATGGAGAAGTTAAGGCCTGCTGCAAGCCTGACTCCCAGCAGGGTCCTCTTGGATCCCTGCTCTCCCATAACATCAACATATTATTTACTTACATAACAGTTTAACTGGAATACTAGATTTTTGAGAAGAGGGTCCAATGTGCTACACAAAACCCTCATTGCCTCCATGTGGCCAGCACTCTAAACAGGCCCCTGACATGTGGGAGACCCCTCCGTCTAATAAAAATGAGGCATCCTGGGCCAAACATGGGGACGCAGAACTGAACAAATAATTCAATGAAACACTGTAGTACAGTCAGCGTGCTGAGCCCGTATGTGGTCCAATTTAATAAATTGTTCTGTTTAATCCTGAAAGCTACTTTCGGAGACAAGCAGTACTAATGCTATTACAGAAGAAAAGGAGTGAGGTAAAAAAACTTCCTTAAAGTTAACACAATTAGGGGCTGTCCATCCAACTGTTTAAGTCCACCCTTTCTTGCCTCCAGGTCATGAGCTCTACAGAGGTTGACGTCTGCATGTGCACTTTAGAACATCAAAGACCAGGATTCCTTCCCTCTCTCATTCACATGTTCAAGAAAAGCCTGCTCAAAGCCAGGGGCTGTGCTAGGCACTGAGGGTGAAGCAGTGACTAGAATAAGCCCTCTGGAGCTCACCTTCTAGAGGGGGAGCTTAACAATGTGCAAAAAGCATACACAGTGTGGGAGATAGAGGCAGAGTATGGTAATCAGGAACTCACAGGTGGGTTAGCTCCGCCTTAGGAAAGGTGGCCAGGGGAAGACTCTGAGGTGCTGAAGGTGTTGGAACTGAAACCATTTTCTTGACAGAATAAGAACGAGCTATGCATAGATCCAAGGGGAGTGCTCAGAAACTGGCTTCAGCTGGCCACGGAACTGTCCTAGGTTCCTTTCTATTGCTGTGATAAAATACCCTGAGAAAAGCAGCTTAGGGGCTGAAGAGATGACTCGGTTAAGAGCACTGGATGCTCTTGCAGAGGACCTGGGTTCAATTCCCAGTGCTAACAGCTGTTTAACTCCAGTTCCAGGGGATCTGACACTCTCTTCTGACCTCCAAGGGCACTGCACGACACGGATGTACTTATACACATGCAGGCAATACACTCATTTATATAAAATAAAATTAAAATTAATTTTTAAAAAAAGAAAATAAAACATTATATAGGGTAAGCAATTGTGATCCAAAAGTCCAAAATCTAAAATTTTCCAAAAATTTGAAACTTCTTAAGCACTAACCTAATGTCAAAAGTGGGAAATTCTACACATGATGGAGGGGCATTAAAATATAAAATTACCTTCTGGCTAAGTATGTAAGATGAAAATGAAACAAGTTTTGCATTTAGATTTAGGTCCCATCCCCAAGATATCTTTACATTAATGTGTATACAAATACTCCACACACATTTTGCCCACTCCAAAAATTCAAAATCTGAAGTATTTCTGGTTCTAAACATTTGAAGAAGGGGCACAACCTGTTAAATGATAACCATGGGCTGGAAAGACGACTCAGCAGTTAAGAGCACTGGCTGCTCTTGCAGAAGACCCAGGTTCAGTTCTCAGCACCCACATGGCCGCTAACAACCATCTCCAGTTCCAGTTCTGACTCCACTGGCATTGCACAACACAGGTGCACTTACATACATATAAGCAAAACACTCAGACCCATAAAATAAAAATTTTAAATCATAGCCACTTAATTGTTAGGAAGTCAGTTTTATAGGTTTCCCGCCAGTCCTTTCAATAAGGCAGAACTGTAAAGCCACAGTTTTAGAAGTAGCAGTGAGAAGGATTCCTGCTCATCAGCATGAAGGAAGGAAATGCTACAGAATCAGTTACTTAACTAAGCATTAGCCTAGCAGGTAGGCTGGCCACACAGGCAGTTGCCTGCATTTAGCACACCACAGGATGGTTCTCTACATAACAAAAAATAAAAAATGGCAAGTGTGTGCGTAGCTGCAGGACACGTACATCAAGCGTCCTCCTGAAACTCTAAGTCAAATGCAATTCATGTTGCATCATCTGGAGGCTTCCTCCAATGTGCAAAACCAATCCACATTTACCCCCTTAGCAGGCTTCCTCTAATGTGTGCAAGAAAAGGACTCTAAAACCAAGTACCAGATCTTTTTAGAAATCTTTATACCTTTTATATTGAAAGCTTCTCTTGGACAAGTTATAAGTAACATGGTCAAAGAATGCAATGAATACGCTTAAGTAATCTCTCTTAAAGTCAAATTAGTGATCACCCTCTTGCCATTGACTTCAAAATATTCCACACACTTATAGAAATGGAATGAACAAGGGCACCATTGTCCAATAGTTGGGGAATAAATAAATAAATCCTGCTTTTTTTGGCCCTGCCCATCCTCCCTGACCACTACTATTGACTTTGGCCACATTTTTTTCAGCAATTTTCCAAAACACTCAGTTAAAAATAACCTAAAAAAAAAAACAAAAACAAAACCCAACATATATACATATGTATCACTGGGAAACAGTTGTATGCTACATTCAGTTTGAGTGACCTATTTTCAAAAACGAAAGTCCCTGAGGGTACCAGAACTAAGTGAACCCCACCTGTCCAATGTTCCCCTGTCAGAGGAATCATCTGCAGGGTGAGGCCTGGCTGAGCTCCCAGGTAAAAGACTGAGGATTAGCCCTGACTACTTGACATGTAGCATTGAAACATTCCTTTCTTGAAGGAGGAGGGAGGCTACTAAGGTTCAGAAAGCTAAAGCAACTTAAAGGTTCAGGAAGCCTGAAAGTTACAAGATTCACAAGGCTTGGGTGGAATCGGTGTGAACAGACAGACATTCATTCAGACCTCCCGAGGAAAAGTCATACTACACGACCAAACCGGTCTCAAGTGAACAGAAGCCTCCAGGGCAGGGAGACCAGGACATTCCAATGGTGGTAGCTACATAACCAAGTAACTGTCCCCAAGACGGTCTCTAATATCAACCTGGAAGCCAGACAGCACATGGGCCTGGATATGTGACTTAGGGATTGCTTCTTTCAGGGTCACGAGCCCAGGACACATTTCCTCACAGATTCTGAACAGGCAGCTCAAGGAAACATAAAATCTCTGTCCTCCTCTGTGTTACCAAGGCAACTTAAGCTTAGACAGTAGAAAACACAGCTAAACACACTATATGACGCTGTCATTCACTAAATCCATTCCAAACGTAGCTTGCTACTAGAACTCCTCCTCCTAAACTGCCAGGTACTTGGGAATCTCACAATGGGTTAGCCTTGGCAACCTCATGGCAGCAATCAGTGAGTGATCTGGGTTTGCTGATCAAATGATAAAACCTTCAAAGTCCTAAACCATACATGGTACACTCAAGTATAATGTTCTTTTACATTCTTAACAGAAAGACACAAAGTGGCTCTACATGGTTAGCTTGAAAGTGTTTGCCAGATGATCTCCTAAAAGAAAAAAGTTAATTATTAATCACAATCCACCTCTGAAGAACATTTATATACTTGACAAATAATAGAGTAACTGTGGTAGTGTACATCTGTAATCCCAGCACTTCGAAAGTAGAGGCGGAAGGATTAGGAGTTGTGAGTTCAAGGCTAGTCTGAGCTATATGAGATCCTGCCTTAAAAAAAAAAAAATCAAAACCAGGGGCTGGAGAGATGGCTCAGCAACTAAGAGCACTGGCTGCTCTTGCAGAGGACCCAGGTTTGATCCCCAGCACCTACATGGCAGTTAATAATCTTCAGTAACTCCAGCTCCAGGGGATCCAACACCCTCTTCTGACCTCCACAGGCATTGCATGACACAGGTGCACTTACATACATGCAAACAATACACTCGTACTCATAAAATTTTAAAATGATAAAATAATTTTAAAAACAAAAATAAAATAACAAAAGTATACACAACATTTTTACATACATTATTTCTTTTGATACATGCACATTCATTTTTTTCACAAACCTTAATCACTTCCTCATGGGGAAATAATATCCTAAACAAATAAGAATATCTGTTCATTTATCACTAAAACAATTTTAGGGGCTGGTGAGATGGCTCTGTGGTTAAGAGCCCTTACTGCTCTTGCAGAATACCCTAGTTTAATTCCCAGCACCCACACTGGGAGGCTCATAACTACCTCATACACACACATACACATACATACACACACACACACACACACACACACACATACTTTAAAAAAAAGTCTTAGAAAAACAATTTTAAGATATACCAAAGAAATTTTAAAAACAAAAAAACTGGTGGCCCTTTCCCATCATCAGGGCCACATGATGCCCTGAGTCAAAGTCTTTGCAGGCAACTGTGGAGTGACAGCCCGGAACAGGCTCCCTCTCCCATAGTCAGAGTGGTTCCATTTGCGCTACTAGCACATGAGGCTGTTTTACTCATCATAGTAAATGACGCAGATAATGATGAAATTGTCACTGCTGTTACCTGTTTCGATGTCACTGTCAATATTCAGGGTCTCGTTAAAGGAGAACATGGTCCCTCTCTTGTAATGCTGCTTACAGACTTTCAAGCCTATTCTATCATCTTCATCTTCTCTATAGTCAAGGGTCGCCAGGGAAATGTTCTTTAGATGATGATACTGTTTTAAAGTTAAATAGTAAACATAGATGAGCTCTTAAATCCTTGATCCCAAATCACACCTATGCAATGTACCTGTAGCTCCTTTCCATTGCTTATATCATGCTTTTGGAGAGCAGTTTCCAATTTAGCATAGCACTAAGTCGATTTCCTTAGTTCTACAGGAACACACTGCTTCATAGAGCTCTACACTAAAGCAATATCCTGAGAGATGGCTCCCATCTTCCTCCCAGCCAACGCCAAGGTCTCACTCACCTCTCAGATCTGATCATACCCTGTGGTCCCTTGGCTCTACCCCATAAAGCCATGTTGGTCTCCAGGCAGTTCTTGGAGCCTGACAGATACACTTCTGTCTGTGCTGTGGTCTTTGCTGTTCCCTTGACCAGGAACTCCTCAACCTGCTCAGTTCACTCCAAGTTTTGACTGAAATGTGAACCACTACAATGAGGTGTCCCTTCAATTAGCCAATAAAAATTACAAACAAATATCAAAAACCTCACTTTGTACCCCATAATATATAACATAATTATGTCACTTAAAAATAATCCAAAGAAGCTGGGCGTGGTGGCACATACCTTTAATCCCAGCACTCGAAGGCACAGGCAGGTGGATCTCTGAGTTCGGGGCTAGCCTGGTCTACATAGTGATTTCAGGCTAGCTCATATCTCCAAAAATACCAATAATAATAATAATAATAATAATAAGTAAAATTTAAAAACAAAGCTGCAAATATCCACTCCATTCCACACATCCCCATCTCCTTCATCACTTTGTAGTTATCACTTTTGAACACTCTACCAGGACCAGAATTATCCACATGTCAGTATTCACAGTAGCACAACTAACACTTGCTCAGGTGAACATGACTTTGCTCTTTGGCTGTCTGAAACAACAGAACTTCACAAGTTTCCACAGTAGGACACATTTACTCAGGAACATAAAAGTTACAAACTACTAATTACTTCAGGAACATTACAACTCATCTACAAGTTAACAATTTGAAAATGTTGTCTTCTAAGACTCTGTGACCTTCATGTGTTCTATCCACCAATATTAAACTATTATGATTCTTTTCCCAATTTTAATCAAGACCCCTCTACATGGAAGGCCTCCATGGCACCCCAGAGTGGTCAAGGGAAGTCCTTCCTTACCACTGCCAGCAACAAACTCAGCTGTGCTTGGAACGTGCTTTGAGCACTGTGATCAAGAAGCCATTCTTCTAGGCTGTATCTCTTTTCATTCGTCTAGACTCTGGAAGGGCAGGATTTTGTCTGCTTTACTCCTTGCTATACTTCAATGTGTAGTACTTTCTGCATACCAGGAATTCAAATATTTATTAAATTAATGAAAGAAAAACATCCCTAAATGCTTTCTTCAGGCCTTCCAATCTCATATCTGCCTAGAAGCAACCATCTCAAATTCCTTTTTTTTTGGGGGGGGGGGTCTTTTTGACACAGGGTATCCCTGTCACACCAGCTAGCCTGGAACTCGCTATGTAGACCAGGCTGACCTTGAACTCACAGAGATCCACCTGCCTCTGCCTCCTAAGTGCTGGGACTAAAGGCATGAGCCACCATACCCCATAAGAAATTCCATGTTCTTAAGATTCAGCTAGGGTTGTCAATGCTTTGACATCGAAGTTGAGACTCCACACTCTCTCAGACTGGCTTCCAAACCCACACCAAACCTGATATTATAATCCCTTAGCTATTTGTTCTAGGGTGATCCCCAAACAGCAGTGGTTTTGGTGCGACAAACTGATTAAAAAAAAAAAAATACCTAATGAAAACTTCAAAATAGGCAAATTCTATCATGAACCCCAGAAGTAGCAATAAACATTTTTGGCAGGCTATGCAAAATTCACGAGAGATGAGTAATTTTTGTTGATTTCCTAACAACATGGCCATGTGTCAACATACTCATAAAGTAGGTCACTTTATAAAACACTTGCCTGATTTATAGTGAAAAAGATGCTTTCATAGGTGTCCTCCTGAGTGTATACACTACAGCTGTAACCATCTTCATCTACACCACGATATCCTTTCAGAAACAAGTGCTTGAAAGCAGCGGTGTTATCGTCTTTGAAAGCAACCACCAACTGGTTACCTAAGCCAAATCCAACAAGCTAGAAAAGAAAATGGGAATGTGGATTTTACCATTTACCAGAGGAAGAAAATGCCTTGTTCTTTTCAACCCTCACCATTCCCCACTTTACACATTAAGAACAAAGATGCTGAAAACACAAGTCCCAAGAAAGAATAACCTTATTGCATTACACTGGCAATTCTTCATATAAACTGTGTCAGAACTCGGACACAGCAAAGAACAGTGCTTGGACATGATGAGGACCAGCACAGCAGCCCGAGAGCCAAGGCCGCTGGGATGTAGGATGGCTCCCTGTCTCTCCGAAGTTCTTCTCTGAGCTCCCCTCAGTCTGTTCCAGGCTGTCACTCCACAGTTGCCTGCAAAGGCTTTGACTCAGGACACCATGTGGCCTCTACCTGACAGAAGTGCTTCCGGAGGGGCAGAATGGTCAAGTGCTTCTCCATCTTATCAAGCAAGGAAGAACTCAGAAAAGAGGGCCTGCCACCACACCAAGGACTTCGATCCTCTGTTCTTCAAGTCCAGTTAGTTCCCTTCAAAATCATTTATTGCCAGATATAGTGATGCACTCCAGTAATGCCAACATTCATGAGGCAAAGGCAGGAGGATTGCCATGCGTTCTAGGCCAGCCAGAGCTATTTAAATGAGGCCCTTTCTCAACAGTCCCCCTGCCCCACCCAAAATCATCTACTTAACCATTTAAGATTTCTCTTGAGAAACAGAACCCATCATGTGTAGAATTATAAGAAGGGATATTTACACTGGTTCACGTGCTCAGACTCTGTGCACAGACTGGACAGCTAGGAAAAAGGCAGTGGCTCAGTCCATAAGACCAGAAGCCTCCAAAGTAATGAAGCCAAACCCTGAAAGCCTCCTCCCCTTCCTGAGGGAGAGCCAGTGAGGTAAGTTCTGCTCAGAGACAAAGACCCTGAAGACGGGTCAACGCAGGCAGCAAACTTTCCCTTCTTTCTTGCTCCAACCAGCCCGCAACCTACTGGATGGTGTTGCCTACATTCAGAACAGGGTTTGTCCACCTCATTTGCCAACTATGTTAGCTAACGTTCTATTGATGTGATAAAAAAACACACTGACCAAACCCAACTTGAAGAGGAAAGGGTTTGTTTTATCTTACATCTCCCAGGTCACAGTTCATCACTGAGGGAGCCCAAGGTAGGAACTCGGGGCAGGAACCTGGAGGCAGGAGCTGAAGCACAGGCCATGGAGGAATTCTGCTTACTGGCTTGATCCTCTGGCTGGTGTTCAAACGGATTTTTTATGCAACACGGGACCATCTGCCCAAGGGTGGCATCGCCTACAGTGGGCTGGGCCCTCCCACATCACTCAATAATCAAGAAAATGCCCCCATAGACATGGCCAGAGGCCAGTCCAATGGAGGAAATTCCTCAGTTGAGATTCTCTCTACCCAGGTGTGTCAAGTAGACAACTGAAGCTGTCTAGCATCCCAACCCACATGACCTCTAGAAACATCATCCCCATCACCCAGAAGTGTGCTTTACAAGTTTTCTAGGCTCCCCAATCCAGTCAAATTGACAACTGATAGTAACCACCAGACTTGTTCCATGTCTCCACTTCCCTCTCCCCCATGATGAAGGGCATAGAAACATCCAAATTTCACAGGGTTCAGAACACGTGATGCTCCTGTGCATATAACCAATGTGTGCTTATTTATTTCTTGCTACCGTGCCCAGCATTCATTTCATTCCAGCTGATGCAAATTCCAACTTTCAGAAAGCAAAAGAGAAATTCCCTTGCTTCCACAGCTAGAAGAAATTACCATTCCCAGCGGCTAAGAACCCTATTTTTTTTTTCAGTTTTCAAACATTTTACTCGTGCCTCTGCAAACTGTTGGTTTACATTTTTTTAGGAACTCTGTTAGCTTTTAAGAAAGAAAGAATCTAATCAGTAAAGTCTGAATCCATTATTTCAAATTATTTCATGAAGTAATAATGCGTGTTTTATTGGTTTAATATTTAGAAATTGTATTTGTGTATGTCCATGTGTGTCCACATGTGTTTAGAGGCCAGAGTCAACACCAAATATCTCTCTCAACTGCTCTCCACTTTACTTTATTTATTTATGTATTTATTTATTTATTATTTATTTATTTATTTGGTCTTTTTGAGACAGTGTCTCCCTGTAGCCCCAGCTGACCTGAAACTCCCTATGTAGACCAGGCTAACCTTGAATTCAGAGATCTACCTGCCTCTGCCTCCTGAGTGCTGGAATGAAAGGTGTATACCACCACGCCCAGCTTTCTACCTTATTTTTTAAAAAATGATCTCTCTCTGAACCTGGAGCTTACCAATTTGCCTAGACTGGCCAATTCTGGGATTACAGGTGCACATCACCGTGCCTAGCTTTTTTATTTGTTTGGGTTTTGTTTTTTTGTTCTTGGAGACAGGGTCTCTCTACTGCCCCTGCTATCCTGGACCTCACTATGTAGACCAAACTGGCCTTAGCCTCACAGAGATCCACCTGCCTCTGCCACGATGGCACATCCAGGAAGAGCCACTGAGTCAAAGTTCATGAAAGAACAACAGGGCTCACTTTCTTTGTATGACATCATGCCCACTCATTGTCACCAAACCCCACCTGCTCCTGATGAAACACCTGTTTCTCCTTGACATCAGATCCAGACATAAACTTAGGCATTAGAGGGCTTCACCAAGAGCAAGGGTGTTCTTCCTGGACACCACCAATGGTGAAAACAGCCAGCACCAAAGTTTATAAAACACCAAGAAGCCACACATACAGCTTTGCCATGCTCACACTATCACATAGGCATGATACCCTATCACATAAACATGCACATATGTACACACACACTCGAATGTATCCTTCACCCCTGCATTCTATCACACACACACACACTGCTCTCTCGTTCATGCACACACACAGAGTGAAATTAAACCTCAGTAAGTTCACCCCACACAGCTGTCACCTCCCCAAGCTGTCATAGGACTAGAATGTTTCTCACCTAACTAAATCGTCAAGGCACATCAAGGGAGCTGTTTCTTCCGTTTGAAATCAGGAGACTAAACGGGGGGCCTGACAGTTTTGCCCTGTCCTGTGTCTCCAGCATTCAGCATGCTGCAGCTACAGTGTGCAGACCATACAGTTCAGCATGCTGTGTCTACACAGCATGCAGACAATACAGTTCAGCATGCTGTGTCTACACAGTGTGCAGACAACACAGTTCAGCATGCTGTGTCTACACGGTGTGCGGACCGTACAGTTCAGCATGCTGTGTCTACACATGCGCGGACCGTACAGTTCAGCATGCTGTGTCTACACGGTGTGCGGACCGTACAGTTCAGCATGCTGTGTCTACATGGTGTGCGGACAACACAGTTCAGTATGCTGTGTCTACACGGTGTGTGGACCACACAGTTCAGCATGCTGTGTCTACACGGTGTGCGGACCGTACAGTTCAGCATGCTGTGTCTACACGTGCGGACCACACAGTTCAGCATGCTGTGTCTACAAGGTGTGCGGACCGTACAGTTCAGCATGCTGTCTCTACACAGTGTTCAGATGATACAGTTCAGCATGCTGTGTCTACACGGTGTGCGGACGATACAGTTTTGTTGCTGAGACTAATGAAGTTGGCATAAGAGCTTTCTAAAGGTTTTCATTTCTACATTTTATATTTTGTCTGGCTTTTAGCATGTCTAAGTGTGTGAGTGTTTATGCATGTCACAGGTGTGTGTGCACGGGGGACTGCACATGCATATATGTGCACATGTATGTAGAGGTCCAAGGCTGATATCAGGTGTCTTCCTTGATCACTCTCCACCTTATGTATTAAGGTGGGGTCTCTGACTTGAACCAGAACTCACCAGTCTGGCCAGTCTAGCCAGTTTCTTCTGGAGATCCCCTGTCTCTACCTCCCAGAGCTGGGATTAGAGTCGGGCTGTTCCACACCTGCCTCGTTTATACATGGGTGCTAGAATCTGAACTCAGGTCCTCAAGGGTGCACAGCAAGTGCTTTCTCCCCTGAGCCATGTCTCCAGCCCCTAATTTGTCTATATTTAAAGACTGAATAATTAAAAACAATAGCCACCATTTTTCTGCAACTGCTATAGGCCAGGCCTGGCGCTGACTGCTGATATATGTGTGTCATCTTTTCTGCAGCCTCAAGCACCCTGCCCATTACTGCTGTCACACACGGTTTACACAGTAACTGGATTAGTCTTTGTGAAATTTCCCCAAGCCACCTCACCAAAATGGAAACCAAGTCTATCTCTAGAGCTATTTTTATTATGCCACATAATAACAGAACAGTTTCTTTCTACTTAAAAAAAAAAAAAAAAAAAAAAAGGCTCTGGGACACTTATTACAAAAAATAATCTAAGTCTTAGCTTTTCAAAATTGTGAAAGGCAACCACTGCTTGAGAATGGTATAGATGAGCTCTTTAGTAACTTAATCTCACTGTATCACATTCTTCACATACCAATGATCAAGCAGTTGCTAAAAGCACAGCTCTTCTAAGGAAAACATCAGATAAGACATCCCCCATCATCAACCTGTGCTGAAAATCAAGCAACTGAAAGTTAAGGTCTCCAGATAGGTGGTATCTGTCAACAGTGGAGATGCCAATAAAGGTCAAGTTGCTTTTTGAAAGTTAAAAAAGTAAACCAGAAAACCAACACATGGGACTGTTTGAAAGTGTTAGAAGAGGTCAACAACCCTGCCTGGACCAGTAGCAACTTGAACATAGCTCTTTAATCACTGTGCAGAATGATTCTCATGCCAAGCTGAGATCCAATGAGATAAGATTGGTGCTGCAGCGTGCTGAACATCACCTCATGGAGTACCAAGCACTACTGTTTGGTTTTGGTGCCCAATTCTGTCACCATCAAACACAGTCAAATGATGAATTCAACCCTACTGCACACCTCTGCAACCTGAAGTCAGGTGATTTATCTGGGTAGAAACATCTAGAAGATATCCAAGCAAGGATCTAAATGCAAGTCTGTCTAATACTGAGTCCTGTTCATTCTCAGAACCACTTGCCACACCACTCCTTAACCAAAATGCTGCCAGCTTAATTCTAGATGCAGGGGTATTAGGTCCCTCCCTTCTCAGCCCCACAGTGAAAGTATGGAAACACAAAACATCTGAACAGGGAATGGACATATTGACCAAGAAGGGGGTATACAATCTGTAGATATTTAAAGCCATCGATACAATTTTGAGATGAAGAGAACATGGAATTGTGATCTCTGCTTGGAACCACCTTGATATGGAATGAAGAACAAGGAATTTTCTCAATTCTCCTCTTCATAGAATGAGCCAGTATCTTCATGCACAGCCCAGCATCATTGTAGAAGGGTTGAGGTTTTCAATGCTTCTCTTAAGGGAGAGAATCCTGAGGGGGAAATGGCAAAGTCCCTGGCGTTGATGAAGCCAAATCTGCCTGTGTAGGGAGGACGGTATCAACCAAATGGGTTTATTTTCAAAAAGTAGGTGGTGAGAAACAAAGATGCATCCCCACCCCCACTAACTAGTTTGCAAAATTTGCTGAGAACAGGATATAGACAGAAAAATAATTACTCGTCAAATGTTGCCTGGCAAAGATTGTGAACTGAAGACCTCATTATGAAATCAATGTAGGAGAAAATATTCTGTACCAGGTGAACACAAGATAGCACTCTAGTGTACAAGAAACGGGGGAGGGAAAGAATGGAACTCACCAAAGAATGTAGACACCTCCCTAATTACTACAGAATGCACAGTCAGCATTTCATTTTCAAAAAGTTACCTACTCAGCAACCCTGACAAAATGCCACTCATCCCTTTAGACTCAGTGGAACACTAAGACACAGAAAATGAGGAAGGAAAAGTGGGATTTGATGGAAAGAAAAGTAATCAAGCAATCTTCCACAACTAGACAGCAGCTAAGTAGAAGACATTACAGAGTGAGTCTCAGAGGCAGAAAAACATAATCTGTCCCAATTATATGAGTAGAGACAAGGATAGCCACAGAAAAAGTAAATTCTCAGTTTCTAGAATACTTTATTATTAAAAATACATCAGCAAACACATACTGGAGAGAAACCCTACGGATGTGACGAATGTGGCAAGTCCTTTAGTAAACGGACAAATCTTAGAAGACATCAGCAAATACATACTGGAGAGAAACCCTACAGATGTGAAGAGTGTGGCAAGTCCTTTAGTCAAAGGTCTGTGATTTCAAGGGGCTGGAGAGATGGCTCAGCAGTTAAGACCAGTGACTGCTCCTGCAGAGGACCAGGGTTCAGTTCCCAACACCCATATAGTGGCTAACAACCATCTATAACTCCAGATCCAGGGGATCCAATGCCCTCTTCTGTCCTCCTTGGGTATTGCACAACATGGATGCACTTACATACATGCAGGCAATATACTCATACACATAAAATAAAAATCAATAAAATATTAAAAAAAAATTAGGTTTCTCACAGCAGGGCCTGCTTTGGGCAGGTAGCCAGGCTGTACATTCTCTGAGAGTGTGTTCTCCATACAAGGGTGTGCAAGAGTCACGCCACAGGACTAAAAGAAGGAACTTAGCACAGCACCTTGAGCTGTTCTTTTTTCAAACCAATACTTGGAGTTAACTGCATATGGTGTCTATAGAGAATGCAGAAAACACTGTCCTTTCTATTTACTATGATTTTTCAAACTAACTATCAGCTCCATTATTTTAAAATTAGAGGTACTTTAACTGGAAACGTGGCTAGAAGTTAAAGAAAAAAATCCTAGGGCTGGAGGGTAGGTCAGGGGTAGGTTACATACTTGGTTATGCCTGTGTGTTCAATTCTGAGCAGCCCTCCCCAAAAGAATATATTATTTAAAAAATGTAAGTAATATACTATTTAAGAATAAAAAATAAATGAGTTGGGGCTGGAGAGATGGCTCAGCAGGCAAGAGCACTGTCTGCTCTTGCAGAGGGCCTGAGTTCAATCCCCAGCCCCCACATAGCAGCTAACAACTGTCTGGATCTGACATCCCCTTCTGACCTCCTTGGGCACTGCATGACATGGGTACACTTACCTACATGCCGGCAATACCCTCATACACATAAAAATAATATTTTTTAAAAATACGTAATGCGGTCAGAAAAGGGTACTAAGGAACGTTAAATGCTGGGTGTTCAGGCTGGTGGGGAAACAGTCTTCAAATCACATAGACAAGGTGAAGGAGGAAATACACACAGCACAGGTTAAGAATCGTCAGGTTTGTCGGGTTGGGATCTGGGTTAGGAAGCAGTTCAAAACCTGGCTGGAAGGCCAAGTCGAAAGAGACTCTGGAAACTTGTGAATTCCAGGCTATAAATTAAGTTTTCTTTTAGGGGAAGAAACATTCTGCAGAAATTCCTGAGCAGCAGTTGATACAGTGCTCACCTTGTAAGCTTGAGGACCTGAGATTGCTATCAGAACCTAAGTGAAAAGCCGGGCATGGTAGTGTGTGCTTGTAATCCCAGTGATGGGGACACTGGAGGTGGGAACTGGAGAATCCCTGGAGCTGTGACTGGCTAGCCTAGCCTACTTGGCAAAGTTCCAGGCCGATGAGAGACTGTCTCAGGACACCAGAGGAATGACACCTGAGTTTGTCCTCTGACTTCCATAGGTTCAAGTCCACAGATAGAAATTCCTAAGCAGGAAAATAATGAAGTAAAAACTCTTCTAAGAAAAAGTGATATGATAGCAACATTGAACAGTCTGGTTCAAGTAAGACAGGCTGCACAAGAGAAGATGGGAAGCAGCCTGCTGCACCCCTCCCTGCCCCCTGCCCCACCTCCTCTCTGCACACCCAGAAGACAGAACCTGTATCCAGAATAAACAGGGCGGGAACAGGAGTGCAGGCTCCAGAGTCTTACTCTGCAAATCCCAGCTCTGCAGGGTCCTCATGTAAGGGCTGTAAGTAAATTACCTAATCCCTTTTGTCCTGATTTCTTTAGCTATGAAGATTCTGCTGGACCTACCTCACAGGGTTGCAGAGGAGAGTAAATCAGTTAGCTCACGTACAACCTTCCTTGTGTCTGGCCTGTGGCAAACACCAAGCCTGTGAGCTGTCAGCAGCATTGTAAGGTACATAGTGTGTCTTAAACTCAGTGCCTTGCCAATGAGTTGTTTCTTATGTGTTTTAAATTGGAGGCAAAAGTGACTGGAGAGGGAACTCAGTAATTAAGAGTACTTGCTGGTTCTTACAGAGGACCAGAGTTCAATTCCCAGAACCTATGTTGGACAGCTCACAGCTGCTTATCACTGACATCCTCTTCTGGCCTCCTCAGACACCCAAACACATGTATGTACACACACACACACACACACACACACACACACACACACACATTAAAAATAAAATAAACCTAAATTGGGGATAAGTGGCTATACAAGAAAGAAAACGCTGGATGTGGAAAAAGCATGAATAGAGATCATTTTGGAGGAGAAAAAGTCAATGGGATTTAGTAACATCAGGAAAGTTAAAGATTACAATGATGTTTTGTGCCTGTGTAAGTTAGAATTTTAGTAGCAGTGCTAGATTGAAATGTCAAAAAATGATGGTGTTTTAGCAAGGGAACTAATTAACCCAATCATAGAAAGTGAGATTATTTCCCCTCTTTAAGTAACAGTAACAATGTCTTCAATGCATAGGTTATCAGAACTAAAACTTGAAAAATAAGAATGAAAAAGGTAAGTACCATGTCCTTTCACAATGTCCCTCCATAGGCCTTGCTTCTTCTGAAATGACTGGCTTTTCTCAAAGCTGGATGATCTGGGCCAGCATGTCACACAGCACAAAGACCACTTTATGAACTCAGATGAAAGATGCAACCTTAGTTACAGCAGAAAGCTTTCATTTCCAGATGAAGGTATTCTTTAATTCTTTATAGTATTTCCTAGCATCCTTATACCCTGTGCATTGACAGCAGACTGATTTATTTACCACTAGAGCCAAATATCCCAAATCAGTACTTTATTTTGTTTTATTTTTATTTATTTATTTTTTTTGTCTTGAAGCAGGGTCTCCCTGTAGCCCCAGCTGTCCTGGAACTCACTATGCAGACCAGGCTGGCCTTGAACTCACAGAGATCCATCCGCCTGCCTCTGCCTCCCGTGTGCTGGGATTACAGGCATGCGCCACCACGCCTGGCTATTTTATTTCATTTTATGTATATGAGTGTATTGCCTGCATGTAGGTAAGTGCACCCGTGTCATGCAACGTCCCCGGAGGACAGAAGAGGATGTCAGATACCCTGGAACTGGAGTTATGGACAGCTGTTAGCTGCCATGTGGGTACTGGGAAGCAAACCCAGGTCCTCTGTAAGAGCAGTCAGTATTCTTAACCGCTAAGCCATCTCTCCAGCCTCCAAATCAGTACTTTTTTTTTCAGGGACATGAGTTTCAAGCATGTCCACCTACAGAGAATTTGCCCCAGATGCGCTCAGTGACTTGGCTCAACAACTAGAGGCCAGATATGCTGGCTACATTTGGATGCCACTGATAAACCCATCAGCAATATGAATTAAAACCAAGGTTCAAATACAGCATTTGGACATCCTTGATAGCACCCAGAAATTACCATTTACTTGGGCACACTGCTACTAATAAAGGGGAAATTTAGCATTCTCTACATCTAAAGACTTTCAAAAGTGTATTTAAATAAGGTATGAGGTGTTTCAAGAACACAAATCACTTTGGACTGACCACCTTGACCACCTGTGAACCTCATTTGGATTGGTGGCTGGGGGTACTTAGAAATTCCCTTTATTATGAATCTACAGCTACATTTATCTAGTATTTATAGGTCTAATATAAATAGATCCTGTAGAGAGATGGCCTCATGATCTCTTATCAAAACAAGGGCTTCTAAATTGAACTTCAACCTACCATCTGCCCTCTGGAATCAACTTAATTATACAGGTCTATAAACTTTGCAGAACAGCAAGCAGGTGCAGAGCACTTGGCCATGATTTGAGCTTGGGGGAAGGAAAAGAGGGTGTCAGTTACCTGTGTGGTGACCATGACTATCTTCAAGATCTGCAAGCCCAGTTTCCACGGAATCTGGTGTCTGGCTCGGTATTTTTCACAGGGGCTCATGAAGTAAAACTTCAGGTCTTCCCTCAGACATTCTTCTTTCACCTCAGCATCAAGAGGTGCCATTGCACTTCTGCCACGAAAGACAGTTTTTAAGTACCTGGGACAGCCTGTCCCTCACAGCGCTCCTCAGCTGCACTTCCTGTCTATACACTTTACCTCATTCCACAGACATAGATCTCTCCAACCAGTGAGCTTCATTGTCTCTAGAAATCTGAAAAGGGTCCCACCTACTCTGTCACCCACCTTTCTACACACTCCCATCTCATTCAAAGTGGCTATTCTCAATTAAAAATAGCATTGGTCAGTTCCTGCAACTGTCCCCTGTTACTAGTGTGCTAGAAAAAGTGTGTGTGTGTGTGTGTGTGTGTGTGTGTGTGTGTGTGTGTGTGTAAAGAGTAAATGAAAGTGTGGACATTATGTCAATAAAAACTAGATGGGACACTTTCATCATACTTAGGTATGAGGTATGGAATGACACATTTAATATGGACTAGTGGAACTGAATTATTAGGGAAGTAGACAATCTTTCTTCTATAACTCTGAGGATTATGTTCCCTGTTTTGAATAAATGTCAATAATTACAAGATTCCAAAAGAGAAGGAACTAGGGGTGAATATGATCAAAATCAATGGTATACATGTACAAAATTATCAAATAACACCTATTTTTAAAGATTCCAGGATATAAATAGTTCCAAAAGTTAAAATAGCATTTCTGTTTATGTCTAGTCAGATTTTGTCAACTTAATTTCATAATATTTTTTTCCAGGCTAAAGGACTCTAGGTTCATGATTGGACACATGATTCACCAAGATCAAAAACAACCAATGAGATACGGTCTCAAAACTATGATTATAACTGATGAGACGTGTGGTCTTTCATTAAGTCCTTAAAATGAGGAGTTCGAAAAAGAAACTCCTCCTGCTTTGAAGAATATAAGAATCATTAGTGCTTCTAATTTTATATACCCTAAAAACTGAAAATCCAAATGCTATTAACTGTTAATGGAGCATAGAACATATATATCACAAAATTTAAGTTATAGAATATACAAATGTCACAATATAATTGTATATATAAACAGTAGCTTGTTATCAAATATGCACACAATGGGAATACTGTGCTAAACCTTTACTTACGGGGACAGAATCAATAAAGTTTGGACATCACAGACAAAAAATGGGCTGTGAGTTTGGAATTTCTAGAGAGAGCTAGAAATGTCACAGGAGAGCTTTCAGAGGCTGCAGTTAGCATAGGAAGTCAAAAGAGAAACAGACACTGTTCAATAATAATAGCTGAGTTTTTTAAACTAATGACCCACATGGCAAGAAATACCCATGAGTGCAATAGTGGTATGAATGTTATGGGGGTAACCAACTACTTTCTGCTTGGATTTAAGGCCCACTCCACAGGAGGAAACACATGCCTGGTATTCTAAATCTGGTCAAGAACTCATGGTTGGGGCTCACAAGCCCCAGGTTTGAGCCTACTACTATTGTTCTGCTAAACAGATATAGTATCAAACTGCTCCCTAAATGTGTGCCTCTCTGCCTCAAGATTATTAGGGCAGCTCTCAGACTCATCAGAGTTTCTTTGTTCAGTGGCTGATAGTTAACACAGGAACTCACAACTTGTCAAAGGGCAAAGAATAAGTGTCAGTGGAGTGCTCAGTCACAAATGGGGCATCTGTATCACACAAAACTCATCATGGAAGAGGGGATGGAAGAATTGTAAGAATCAGAGGTTGGGAAGGACCAAGGCTAGACAGTGGCTTCTGGACATGACAGGCCACTGCACTCATGAACTCACAGCAGCTGTGGCTGCCTGGAGGAGACCTGCACAACTGAGGAGCTGTGGATGGCTGATGGCTTCTGGGAGAGGGAGAGTCAGTTTTCTTTAAGGATGTGACCCCTAGTAGGTTGACCATGCTCCAGTGGATGGACCCACATCTAAAAGTATATGAACAAAACAAAGTGGACCCATTGAGTTATTAAACAGAACAAAGAGGACATCAAATTGGAGTGGGTAGAGAAGTAGGGGCAGACCTAGGGGGAGTTAGGGGGAAGACTGGGGTTGAATATGATCAAAATACTTTGTGTTAAGTTCTCAAAGAATGTATATATTTATATCCTGAGAAATAACTGTCATAAACCAGGCCATGAGTCTCACACCTAGGTGACCAGGGAACTTCAAACTGTCAGATTGCTCGAGTCTGGAAGCTTTAGACTGAAATTGCCCTTCATGTCCTAGGTTGCACAGAGGAAGATTACACCAAGGACTTGGAGAAATCTAACATAAAACTTGCACGCTATGACCAGAATCTAGTTAAACATAACCAGACCAATGACAAGCAAGTAAGGTGGAAAAGTTACTTAGAAACTACAGCAGAAACTCAGTGTACAGAGTTCTAGGCCAGCCCGAGCTATAGGCTATCTCAAATAAAAACTTTACATATGTGTTTGCCTGCTGTAGTCAGCTCCCAAGTCAGTCTGACTAACTGAATGAGCACTTACTCTGTGGACTGTGTGCTTGGGGCAGGACAGGAGGCTGAGTAGGTTCCTTGAAGTTCACATGCTCAGGGTCCAGTAAGGGGAACTTGTGAGCATATTGCTATCTAGCAAGTGAAGGAGGGCTGCACCACACTGTAAACATGCTTTCAGACAGAGTTCTGACTGTAGGGTAAGGGGTGCAAAGAGCAAGGGGAACCCCATCACAGTCAGGATACACAGGTGTCAATGCCATGAGGGCAGTTGACTGGGAAGGTGGAGGCACGTGACAAGGTGTCATCTTTCCTGAGCCCGAGAGCAGCATCTTCACACAACCCCAAGATGCCCCAAGAAGAAAATCAGACAGATGGTCCTGTGGGTGAGTGTGCGCAATACTGACTTTAGAGCTACCCAGCATCAATCAGTGCTAAAGGATCCATCCTGATATGCTTTTCATTTAATGAAGGTGAAAATATGTGAACTGAACTCTTAGAACCCTGGAAAGAAGGCCATGAAACACCTTCTACATATAGGCGCACACACACACACACACACACACACACAAGCACATACACATACACACATACACAGAAGCCTCAGGCAGAAATGGAAAAAGATAGTTAAAGCAAGGAAATATGTTTTTAAAGTAGCAAAATAATAAAATGTAGCAAGTTCTGAAAGTCAAAATCACTATTACACTATTTATATTATTGTATCCTTCCAGAATTTTTCTTAACTTACTGAGGAGGTGTTAACAAAGCTTCTAACAATGTGAAGGATTAAAGGAAAAACATTTCTAAGCTGAACATTTTTCTCCTAAGTATGTGTCAACTGGGAAACTACAGGACAGAAACAGTGAGGTATGTCCAATTGACAGAATGACGGAAATGCAGAAAAAAAATCTTAGTTGAAACAATAAATGTACAAGACAAGATAACTGGTTTTTCTTTTCAATAAATCTAACTTGGATTTTAAAGTAACATCTAAATTTTGGAGAAAAGGCAATGGTATTTGCGTTTTAAAAAATCTAGTATCTCTAGGGGAAAATCTAAATGCATAAGTTATTTAAGCTTTTCTGAGGGCTCTTTCTTGTTCCCCTCTTCTGAATTTATAGGTTTGTCCAGGTCCCTGGTAGGTGAAGGTATTTTAAAAGGCACACATGGTAAATTGCTTAGTTTTTAAGAGGACTGGCTACTCTTGCAGGGGATCCAGATTTAGTTCTGAACATGCACATCGTGGCTCAAAGTGTAAGCCCAACGCCAGGGGATCCATCAGCTGCTTCTGATCTTCCTGGGAAACAGGCATGCATGTAGTGTGCATACACAAAATTATAAATGAATAAGTCTTTTAGAAAGGCACGCATGTGGGGCTAGAGAGAGATGGCTCATCAGTTAAGAGCACTAGCTTCTCTTGCAGAGAATCTAGGTTCGATTCCCAACACTCACACAGCAGCTTAACAACCGTCTGTAACTCTAGTTCCAGGGGAATCCAAAACCCTCTTCTGTCCTCCACAGGCATTGCATAACACAGGTGCACTTACACACATACAGGCAATACACTCGTACACATAAAAAATCAGAATAAATAAAATATTTAAAAAAGAAAGGCACATATGCACAGCTTGTTGCTATAACAAAAAAAATGGTACAAAGAAAATAAACAGAAAATTAAAAAGCAAAAGAGGACAGTGTGGCAGCACAAAACCAGTCATTTGACACACGTGACCAACACCCTCTGGTGCTTAACTAAACTGGTTTTTTGGTCCAAGAGGTTCGAAAGCAGTCACTACATCACAAACAAGAATTAGGTCCAAAGACAGGAGAAATGCTGTGTCTCCCACCAGAAGTGATAAAAATCACCAACACATTCAGAAAAAGACAAAAACCTCAGGTCGGAGGAAGCAAAAATAGCTGTAACACCAATTAAGGAAGAGAAATACAGAAGAGCTAGGTGACCCAGCCCACCCATTGTAGGCAGCCACACATCGACACCTCATGAAACATCAGCACAATAATAACACTTAGGGATGGTTAAACTAAGTTATAGGAAATGTATGATCTGGAATATGTGTTTGTGTGTGTGTGCACATATGTACACGTGCATGTGAAGTCAGATGTTAACAGGTGTCTCCCCCAATCACTTCTCTCCTTTAGCTTTTTTAAAATATTTTATTTATTATTTTTATTTTATGTGTGTGCATGTATTGCTTGTATGTATGTAAGTGCACCTGTGTCGTGCAATGCCCTAGGAGGACAGAAGAGGCTGTTGGATCCCCTGGACCTGGAGCTACGGACAGTTGTTAGCTGCCATGTGGGTGCTGGGATTCAAACCTAGGTTTTCTGCAAGAACCACCAGTGTTCTTAACCACTGAGCCATCTCTCCAGCCCCGTTTTTTGTTTTTGAGAAAAGGTCTCACTGAACCTGGAGCTCACAGATTAGTCTAGACTGGTTGGCCAGAGAGTCCCAGGGATTCTCCTGTGCTTGGATTACAGGTGTAACCCACTGCATCTGGCTTTTGGTTTTTTCACATTAGATTCTGAGGGATTGAATTCATGAACTCAGGTCCTCTTGTTTTAGTGGCAAGT